AGGCATCACTTTTTATCTTAACTACATTGATCTTGTTCTTGCAAAAGCTTTTTCATTTTATGTAATAAATTATTTTATCTTTCATGATCTCCTCTATCTCTTGTTTTGATTAACAACACTGCACCTAACCATAGTTGTTAAATGTTCTTGATCTCTTCTAATTTTTTTTAGCTTTTTGGTGAGGCAGTTGGGGTTAAGTGACTTGCCTAGGGTCACACAGCTACTAAGTGTCAAGTGTCTGAGATCACATTTAAACTCAGGTCCTCCTGGCTCCAAGGCGGGAGCTCTATCCACTGCGCCACCTCGCTGCCCCTCTTCTAATTTTTTTTTAAAGGCACACCATTATATTCAGGTCAAATTTCCATTTTAGAATATTCTTTTTATTATTTTGAATTTGACAAACTTAAACAAAAATGGACGTTTCCATATACATAGAAGAATAGAAAAAGAGAACTGTGTGTGATACTGTGAATCTCTGTTATAGCTTTTTTTTTTTTTTAAGGATGTGTTAAATTTAACTTGGTAGAATCAGTATTGCCATGCTTTTCCAGGACCCCTTCTGAACTTTTTTCTGTGCTCTTCATATTTTAACTTGTTTCCTTAATAGCTTTTCCCCCTCTGTGTGTCATTATCTTAGGGTTCTCTGGATTTGTCTCTTTTGTCATTTCATACTGCAGAGTAATCCCTTACAACCTTATACCATAATTTGTCCAGTCATTCCTTAGTTAATAGGTATCTACTTTTTTAAAAAAATAAATTTTTATTTGTGTGTTTTTCCTTACAACACCAAAAATATCCTCACTATCTCTCTTTCCTCCTCCATAGAGCCACCCCATATAACAAATTAGGTTTTTTAAAGACAAAAAAAAAAAGAGAAGGAAAACAGGTATAACTGATGAATATATGCAAATGTCTAAAAATATGGACATTGTACTACATTTGTGGCCATCCTACTTCTGCAAAGGGTTCAGGTAGGGTGTCCTCTCATGTCTCCTCTTTGCAGCTATGCTTGTTCTTTATAATTTTTCTGTGTTCATTTTTGATTTTTTTTGTGGTGGTTCTTTCCATTTGCATTGTTGTAGTCACTGTATTTTATATTTTTATTGGAATATTATGTCCATAAGAGAGAGCAATTATGAGGAAATTCAGAGAAATAAAGAAAGATTTGTATGAACTGATTCAGAGTGAAATAGAACCAGTAAAACAATATTCGCACTAACTATAGCACTGCAAATGAAAAGAATAATAAAGCAAACCTGAATGCTGTGTAACTATAATCAATTTTTTTTAAATGAGAGGCAGCATGGTGTAGTGAAGTGACAAATAATTGACAAATAACTGTAGTCAAGTGATTTAACCTCTTGGTGCTCTTAAATTGCAGAGAAGATGCTGACCTGCGTTAGTAGAGGAAGCTCCTCACTAGGAGGTATTCAAGTAAATGGAATTACAAGTTGAATTTCTGTCTTAATTTTATTTTTTTTAATTCAATTTTATTTTATTTTCAGTTCTGGATTCTCTTTCTTTAAATAGCAAGCTCCCTTAGTGCATTCAATCCTATTGGATGTGATTCACATAATTTTGTTGAGAAACATAGGTGTGTGGTTTTTTTTTTAGGCAACTGAGGTTAAGTGACTTGCCCAGGGTCACACAGCTACATAGGTGTTTTTAAAAGTGAGGTACATCTGCCATCATTTTTCTAGTTTTTCAAGTTGAAGGGATGATCTTCTACGGGGGACAGTTGGATGTATTTGGCATGATAACTAGTGGACTTTTTTTGCCACATGAGAGTTGAAAAGGGTGGGAGACATGGTCTTTTACAGTCTTTTAGGCTGTAATTGTCTAGATCTTGGTCACCAGGGCCTAATTTTTTTTTACCTTTGTTTTCCTATGGAGGAGAAGGACTAATAGTATTTTGTTTATATTGTTAGTGGTAATAATAATAATAGTAATAATAATAATGTAAAGAAGCATCTGGTGGTACAGTGGATAAAGCTCTGGTTCTGGAGTTAGGAAGAGCAGTCAAATCTGGCCTCAAACATTTAGTAGCTGTGTGACCCTGGGCAAGTCACTCAATCTCTGTTTGCCTCAGTTTCTTCAACCGTAAAATGGAGATAACAGTAGCACCTACTTTGTAGGGTTGCTATGAGAATCAAACGAGACATTTGTAAAAAGTGCTTAGTACAATTCATGACACATAGTAGACATGCTTGTTTCCTTCCTTTCCCCTCCCTGTAAACCTCATTTTCCTATTTAGATATCTCAGAGAGCAGCATCTGCAAGTGCCTGCTTTTCTAACATTTGATCTAGGGAGAAGAATTGAATGTACAATCTTAGTTGAACATGTAAGTGGTAAGATACGGAAGCAAATGATGGAGTGAGTTCAAAGACCCCCTTAGCTCTGCTGGGCAGAAGACAGCCTAGTGGTTTGGATATTTCCACTGTTTTCGGAAAAGATAGGTTTCCCTTGCTGAGAGTGGAGATCTGACAGCCCAGATTAATGAGAAAGGCTGTGAGTCATTTTGTCTTTTATGCTGCTTCATATGGTCTAGATAATAAAATGTTTATTAATAATATGAAAAGAAATTATTTGCACCTATTTAAGGTCTTGGGGTCTTGGCCTTAGGGGAGTTTTGAAAGCACATTTTGTCATTTGTGGAGTATGTAGAAGTCTTGGTTTTCTTGGTTCATAAGATTTAAAAGCTGGTAGGGACCTACAGCATTATCTAGGCCAAACCAAGTCCCCTCTGTTTTGCAGATGAAACTAAGGCCCAGAGAAGTTAAAGCATATGATCTTTTCAGCACACGAAAATGTCTCCTGAAATTTTATTACCATTCAGATTTTGTGTATATAAAAGCTAATTAAAACTTTACCTAAATTCTAGTCCACAATCATCTGTTCCACAATCAGCCAACATAGTCACTCTGAAACCAAAATATTTATTCTTCATTGGACTAATTGCTGACAAAACAAAGCAATTCATTATGTTCCAAACATGAATCAGTTTATAGAAAATTCTTATCATACAAATATTGTAGAAGCCGATTCTGCATGCAAAGCTGTTAGTATTTAATTTTTTTTTCTTTTCTGACAGCCACAAATGGACCTAAAAACACATGATAGAACCCATGCCAAGAAGTTTAAAAATCTGTTTTGTATCTCTGGAATATAATGGAACATTAATTTGTATTTGTAGATGAGCTTTCATCTCTTTGCCTAAATGTATTTTACAGATGTTTTATGGAAGTAATTATTACTATATTTTATTACCAAATCACTTCACAGATGTTCTTTGCTTGCTTCTCTTGAAAAACTAAATGATCTTTGTGGCCAAACAATTCACTCTCATATCCGTAATTATTGTATCATTTTTATCTTTATCTTAGGGATCCTAAACATGTCCTTATTTTTCCTAAAATGATTACTTAATTCAAAAGTGATGCATCTAACTTGTTCCAATTTCTCTATTTTTTTCCCTAAGGAAACTCAAAAGTCATGTTTCAAATTTAATCTGAGCCAAAAATATTTCAGTCATATTGTATTTCTTGTGATAGGAAGTGATACCCTTATAAAAAGACTGTATACCTCAGCTGTTCTTTGCCAGGAAAAAAAATTGACCGCGGTAAAAGTATGATAAAAGAAAAGAAAAAGGAAAGGAAATCTGTATGTTTAGGCAACTGTTATTATGATTTGAATACCAACTTATTCTAGTATGGTTTTAATTTTTTGGCCCATATGTCTTTACTGAGTAGTAACTTTCTTAGCCTTCTCTTAAGGTGCTAGAAAACTTTACAGCTTGTAATCAGATCAAGTAATATGCAGTCTTACAACCGGTAGAAGGAGCCATTTTGCCCTCAAATATTAAAACATCATCAACCATCATCAAAATAATTTTTTTAGTCCCTTGTAGCTTATAGAACATTAGTACTAAAGGGCTGAGGTAGGGACAAAGATTAGGTAAGGCTTAATCCCCAATCTCAAGGAATTTGAAGTCTAGTTGCACCAACAGAGAGCAGTCTGTGGTACAAATCAAGAGTGGTAGTCATAATTAAGTGTTAAGGAAAGTGGAAGAATCACTGAGACCTGTGGTGAATTGTCTAGGCTTCATGGAGGAGATGGAACTTGAAATAAATAGAACTTAGGCAAAAAAAAAGAAAAAGAAAGAAAACTGGGGAAGAACTCTCAGGTACAGGATAGAGACTGTTAAGAGTGCAAAGTTTGGAGTGGGCATTGTTTGTACAGCATCTGTTCAGGTAACAATAACACTAATGTAGGAGACCTTGAAATAATTTGTTTGGCTAGTAAATCTTTCTTCAGGAAATCTGGCCTGGCAGGTCCCTGCTTGCTGTTCTGTTCATTTTTTTTTTCAGACATTAGAATAATTGTTTAAATAGATGTAATAAACTTCAGCTGGGTGGGGAGATTAAAAGGGAATGGCATGGTCTGTATGTATAAGGCTTGATATTTAAAAGGCGGTGAAAAAGGAATGCAATAATGCAAATGATAACACTAAAAGCAATAAAACTTGATGAATTATAATGAACAATCTCAGTCATGGAGAATTGATTAAAAAAAAACCAAACAAACAACCTCCTTCCTCTTGGTAGAGAGATGGGAATTATGGATGTGAAATATAGAGTATACTGACATTCATGGTTGGTCACAGTGACTGTATCTTCACTCTTTCCTTAGATGTTTTTACTTGTTACTGGGAAGGTTTCAGTTAGAGGAATGGATTTTAAGAAAAAACAAAAGGTTTCAGTTGGGGTGACAGATTTTGACAGAAAAATGAAAGGCAATAAATCTTTTAAAAAATGAAATAAAGGCATGATAGACACTGAGATCAGGGACAGAATTAGTTAGAAGAGGAATTGAAAATACTGTTCCCTGAATCCTCATTCTGGTGGCTCATGAGCCCTGGATGAGGAGGATATCATGAGCTTGTGATGCTTTGGGATTGGGAATTCTGAGCTCTGTCTTGCTTTCTTTCCTTCCCCCATAGGTCTGTCCTACTGTAGACCATGAGTAGGTAATGCACAGTGAGGACTATTGGGAGCCATGTCAGACGAGTCAATCTCAGGGAGTGATCCAGACTTGGACCCAGACTTGGAGCCGGAGGATATGGAAGAGGAGGAGGAGGAGGAGGAGGAGGAGGAGGAGGAGGAGGAGGAGGAGGAGGAGGCAATGGAGGAGGGCAATGATGGGGATGATGAGGAAGACTTGCTTGATGAGAATGGTAAGTATTTGGCGTTTCTGATATACTTCAATCCATCAGTGTCTTTTCAGTAATGGTTTGGTAAGAGTGGGGGAATTCCCTTTCTTGTTTTTGCATATTTAAAAGTAAATGTTTTATTCCAAGAGAGTTCTTGATATTTTATTTATTATTGGATTTCTTTTAAAATTCACAATGAGAGATTGCAGCAAAGTATTTTTTTTAAACATATAAATACAGGGGTACAAAAGAAACAGGCTTCATACTGCCAGTGCCTCCTGATGAAATAGTTCTTGGTGATGTGCTAGAAAATATTGTTACCACTTTATGGAACTATAAGGCAGCCTGGTACAGCAGAAAGAGCTCCTGCTTTAGTAGGAATTAGGAGACTTGGTTCTACCTCTGACTTGATTTGTGACCTCGGACAAATCCCTTCTCCACCGTGTGCTTCAGGTTCCTCTTCTGTAAAATGAAGCGGTTGGATTAAATGATTTTTCTAAGGTTATCTTCTACCTCTAGTGGTCTGTGATTTCTCTGTGTCTTAGTCAGTGGAGCCTCAGTTGGGCATTTTGTTTCTTGTAATTTTGCTGACTCATTGTTTCAATTCTTCAGGTTCTTCTGTGAGGGGACTGGCTCAAGTGGCAGTAGACCTTTTATTTACCCCAAATTCCTTCATTACAGTGTCTGATGATCTGAATACTTGATGATCAGTTGGTTTAAAACTGTTTTTTCAGCCTAGCCATAGGCTTTCAGTTCTGTCCTTTCACAAGGTGATTGATTGTCAGCAAATAGGAGATGACTAATAGGATTATATGGTCATCATACCTTTCAAGAGTCCTGGGACCTCTATACTGCCTATTAGCATTCTGTGAGTGGAAGTTGCAGAGAAGCTAATTTCAGAAAGGGAACTCACTATCTCCTGAGCCAGTTGATTATGCTTTGAGACAGCTCAGATTGTTTAGGAAATGTTTATTCTCATTGGAGGTCTTTAGTCAGGGAAGATGACTGCTTGTCAAGAATATTGAAGAAGTGATTCATATTTAGTTATAGGTTGGACTCGATGACCATAATAATCAATAGGCTAAAGGATCTGAAGAGGCAGAGTGGAAGAATATCATCTATTTTTAAATTTATTATTATTATTATTTTTAGGCAATTGGGGTTAAGTGACTTGCCCAGGGTCACAAAGCTAGTAAGTGTCAAGTGTTTGGTCTGAGTCTGGGTTTGAACTCAGGTCCTCCAGACTTCAAGGCCAGTGCTCTATCCACTGCGCCACCTAGCTGTCCTGGAAGAATATCATCTAGAGAAAGGGAAGAAGGTCTTTGGATTTAGTAATAAATAATTGATAACCTTGGACAGAGCTGTTTCTTTCTGGGGTGGGGACTGTGAAAAGGTGGAGGCAATGGGTATAGAGAGCTTTGTCTTCTCAGTTTAATTATGAAAGGAAGGAGCAATATAGGAAGCAGCTTGAGGGGATGTTAGAGTGAAGGGAGATCTGAGGATGTTCTTAGACAACAACAAAGAAGCTGGTGGTTAAGGATCAGTTGAAAACTTAAGGGTAGGGAGGAATGATCAAAGGGCTAACCTCCTAGTGTAAATGGGAAGGCGTGGGATCAAAGACAGCCAGCAGAGGGCTTGCAAGGAGAATGCCACCTCATACTCCTAGACTGGAGCAAAGAAAGAGAGGATGGGGAATAATGCTGAGGTGAGTTGGAATATGATTTGGGGAAAAAAAGAAGCTCATGACAGAGGATGAATTTTGAGAGGTAAAGATGATCGTATAGAGGTTTGAGAAGAGTGAATTTGAAACCGCCATGGAATGGAACAGCTGGTTAGATGATGGTATATGAGAAGGGGACTTAGATTTCTTGAACATAGCTCAAAATGTAGGAATGACAGGTACCTTGTTTATGGACAAGCCTGTACCAACAAAAGGCAAATAAAAATGTATTTGTCTGGAGTATTGCAGACATAATCAAAGGACTTTTAAATGAGAAGGGGAGGGAGGGAACTGTATATACATCCAAGCCAGGTACCATAAAAAGGATTATCAGCAGTGTCACAGGCTTCGGAGAGGTCTAGGAGAATGAGAATTGAGAAAAGGCCTTTGAATTTGACAATTAAGAGATAACTGAAAACTTTGGAAAGAGAAGTTTTTGTGGAATGGTATAATTGGAAGTTGGATGGTAAGAGATTAAGTAGGGAATGAAGGGAGAGAAAATGGAGGCACCTATTATAAATTTATCTTTTTGAGGAGTTTATCTACAAAGGGCAGAAGAATAATAGAATAATATTTAGCTAGGATGGAAGGATCAAGTGACTGTTTTTTCAAGATGGGAGAGACATGGACATGTTTATAGGTAGTGATGAATGAGCCAGTTGACAGGGAGTGATTGAAAATAAGTGATAGAGGGCTATAAAACTGTTTTTACCTTTTGACCCAGCCCTACCACTACTAGATCTGTATCTCAAAAAGATAAAAGAAAAAGGAAAAGGAGATACAAGGAGTACCAAAGTATTTATTGCAACTCTTTTTGTAGTGGCAGAGAATTGGAAATTGAGGGGTTGCCTCTCAGTCAGGAATGGCTGAACAGGTTGTGGTATATGATCGTGATAGAATATTCTTGTGCTGTATGATGAGGGAAATGGTTTCAGAAAAATTTGGGAAGATATATAAACTGATGCAAATTGGAGCGAGCAGAACCAGGAGAACATCGTACACAGTAACGATAATATTGTAATGATGACCAGCAGTGAAAGACTTAGCCAACTGATCAATACAATGATCCAAGGCAATTCTAAAAGAACTAATGATGAAAAATTGGTCCACCTCTAGAAAGAGAGAACTGATGAACTCTTTTTTTTTAAAAAAGTAATTGGGGTTAAGTGACTTGCCCAGGGTCACACAGCTAGTAAGTGTCAAGTGTTTGGTCTGAGGTCGGATTTGAACTCAGATCCTCCCAACTTCAGGGCCAGTGCTCTATCCACTGCGCCACCTAGCTGCCCCTTGATATGAACTCTTAATGCAGACTGAAGCAGATTGTTTTTCACTTCCATTCTTTTTCTTTTCTTTTCTTTTGTAACATAATACAGAAATATGTTTTGCGTGATTTCATATATGTAATGGTTATCATATTGTTTGCCTTCTTAATGAGTGGGAGAGGAGCTGGAGGGAGGGAGAGAATTTGAAACTAAAATTTTTTAAGTTAATATTAAGAATTAATTAATATTTTTTAAAAAAAGAAATTAAGTGATGAGTGGGAATGGCAGAGGGGGCAGACTGTTGGAGGAAGATAAGGTGGCATGGGATCTTTTGAACTAATAGATAGGTTAGCCTTGGGAGCAAAGCCATTTTGTCACGTGAAATGGATAAGGAGGAATTAGTGGCAGAAAGAATCTGAGTAATATGAGATGATGAAGAGAGAAGAAGAGAGAGCTCATGGTGCATGTCTTCAATTTTTTCTGTAAAATATGAAGTGAAGTTCTCTGCTGAGAGAATATGGGGTGGGGGAGCTATGGGAGGTTTGAGGAGGGTTAAGATCTGCTGTGGAGATGGGAGAGTGAGTTGGTAAGGGGGGGGCATAGTAGGATTGATTAGTAGCAATGAGGACCTAGATGAGATTGTATAATATAAATTTGTGTTTTTTTGTAAAAAACAATTTTTAACATTCATTTTGAAAACTTTGAGTTCCAAATTCTCTCCCTTTCTCCCTCTCCACCCCTCCCCCATCAAGAAGGCAAGCAGTTCAATATAGGTTATACATATATAACATAAATTTGTAAGAGACCCAGTCAGAACAGTTGCCTGATTTTCTCCACCCTTGTTCAGTAAGCATGTAATAGTGAAGGTGACAAATGGTGGGAATGGTCCAAAGCTGCGGCTTGGCCAGGCTTAATCAGTGATATGATAAAGGGACTGGGGATTTAAAAGAGGAGGACAGTGTAGAGTTGAATTGGTTCACCAAGGGATGAAGAGAAGAGAGAGTGGCTGGTGCTGGGGAGAGGGCCTCAGAGAGAATTGAAGGATCAAGGAATTTGAGATGATGGTGTGAGTGAAGAGGAGCAGAGTTTTGTAAGGGAAGGCAGAGGGAAATGTGAAAAGCCAACAACTTATAGTTGGATATTTTGAAATTCTTAAACATAGAGGTGTAATACATTAGTGGGTGAGTACATTTGTGACAAAATCAAGTGTATGACAATGTGAAATATCTTATTGGAAAAACAACTGATCTGGAAAATAGACCCAGGAGAGATCATTTAAAAATTTTTGGACTACCTGAAAGCCATGATCAAAAAAAGCCTACATGTCATCTTTCAAGAAATTATCAAGGAAAACTGCCTAAATATTCTAGAACCAGAAAGTAAAATAGGAATTGAAAGAATCTACTGATCACCTCCTGAAAGAGATCTCAAAATGAAAACTGCCAGGAATATCATAGCCAAATTCCTGAATTCCCAGGTCAAGGAAAAAATATTGCAAGCAGCTAGAAAGAAACAATTCAAGTATAGTGGAGCCACAGTCAGGATAACACAAGATTTAGCAGCTTCTAAATTAAAGGATCATAGGGCTTAGAATATGATATTCCAGAGGGCAGAGGAACTAGAATCATATCCAGGAATCACCTACTGAGCAAAACTGAGTATATAATCCTTCAGGGGAAAAATGGACATTCAATGAGATAGAAGACTTTCAAGCATTCTTGATGAAAAGACCAGAGCTGAATAGAAAATTTGGCTTTCAAATACAAGACTTAAGAGACGCATTAAAAAGGTAAACAGGAAAGGAAAATCATAAGGGACTTAATAAGTTTAAATTGTTTACATTCCTACATGGGAAGATATTTGTAACTCATAAGACCTTTCTCATTATTAGGGTAGTTAGAAGGAGCACATGTAGACAGAGGGTACAGGTATGAGTTGAATTTGAAGGGATGATATCTAAAAAATAAAATTAAGGGGTGAGAGAGGAATATATTGGGAGAAAGAGAAAGGGAGAGGTAGAATGGGGTAAATTATCTCATGTA